CTCGCCTCCTCTCCTCCTGAGCACTAGGCGCTGATGGTTCTGGCGTCGTGTGCGAAGTCCCCCCCCACCCCCCACCCCCCCAGGGGCGATTGCCTCTGAGGGGGAGGTGATCAAACTCGGCAGCTGCAAAGGACAAAAGAAGGGGCGACCGGCCGAACGCCCCCGGGGCGGGGGAGCTGTGTCCCCCCTGGGAGGGGAGGTAGAGCAAGAGAGGAGGAGAAGCATAACCTCCTCCTCCTCCTCCTCCTCCTCCTCCTCCTCCTCCTCCTCCTCCTCCTCCTCCTCCTCCTCCTCTTCCTTCTCTCCCTCCTCCTCCTCCTCCTCCTCCCCCTTTCCCTGCCACTCCTCCTCCTCCTCCCGAGGGGGTTGGAAGGCTCAACGAAGCGAGCACGCGGACACAAGGGCAGCAAGAGGAGCACAAACGGGAACTAACAATCGAATTCCTCGCCCCACACGCGGGGAGCAAAAAAGGCGTCCGCCTCCTCACAAGAAAAAATATGACTGGGAACAAAGTGAGGAAAGAAGATGGAAAGGATAAGGATGAGGAGGAGGAGGAGGAGGAGGAGGAAGAGGGAAGAAGGCGAGGAGGATGGAAGGAGGAGGAGGAGGAGGAGGGAATGAGGAGGGAAGGAGGCGAGGATGAGGGGTCGGCAGCGGCGGTCAGTCCCTCCGCAGGAGGGGGGAGGGGGAAAGAGAGACACGGGCAGGGGGGGTAAAGGGTAGGCGGTGAGAATGGCAGTGCGTAAGGACGTGAGGGCAGAGGGTATGAAGAGCAGAGGGTATCACGGGGCTCGTGGTGGCCAGGGGGTGTAGGGCACGGTTGGCAGGATGTGTTCTGCGGGAGATGGGGGTCAGGAGCATGGGGCCATGGGGGTGCGGGGGCAGTTGGGGGAACACCGTGAAAGATAAGGGAAACCGTTGAAAGGGGTCGGAGGTGAGGTAGGAGGTGGGGGAGGGGGCGATGCAGGGGGTGGAGCAGGAGGGCGGGGGATTAGGGGGATTATGAGGGAGGAGGAGAGGAGGAGGAGGAGGAGGAGGAGAGGAGGAGGAGGAGGGAAGGAGGAAGGAGGAGGAAGGGGAGGAGAGGGAGAGGAGGAGGAGGAGGAGGGGAGGAGGGGAGAGACGGGCGGGCGAAGTGGAGGAGGGGAGGGGTATTGGAAAGGATGGAAGAGGGTAGCAGTGTGAAGGAGGGGAAGGAGCAGGAGCAGCAGAAGCAGGAGCCGAGAGAAGGAAACCACCCATTTGCTCCCCGCTGCTGACAGTGGCAGCGGAAAACAAGAGACCGCGCGAGTCCTACTCTGCGAGGCGATCCGTGGCACGCCTCAGGCACCGCCGCCATGGGATCCAAGACAGCCCCTGCCCATGGACGCCATGCCCGCCTGGTCCAATCCTGTCTTCCTCCTCATCCTCCTCATCCTCTCCTCCTCCTCCTCCTCCTGCTCCTCCTCATCAGCCTCCTCTTCCTCCCTCCCCTCCTCTCCTCCTCTCCCCCTCCTCCCTGCTTCCTCCCCCCCCACCCCCGTTTTCCCCCCCCCCCTCCTCCTCCTCCTCCTCCTCCTCCTCCTCCTCCTCCTCCTCCTCCTCCCTCCTCATCCTTCCCTCCTCCTCCTCCTCCTCCTCCTCCTCCTCCTCCTCCTCCTCCTCCTCCTCCTCCTCCTCCTCCGCCTCCTCCTCCTCTTACATTCCTTCACCTTCTAAATAGCTTTTCCCTGTCTATCCCCGAGGCCAGTTTTCAGGGAGGGGCGGGCGTTTCGCATGAGAGTCCCTCACCACGTATGACTCTGACGCTGAAAAATGGCAACAGCTTCACAGATGGAGGGCGGGTC